AAATGTATTTAATTTAATTTAATTTAATTTAATTTTGTAACACCCGTTCATAATTCGCTCTTATGTGGGTTTTAATGGGATCACTGCATGCCCAGACCATAATATGTTCCTTCTACAGTGGACCTGGCTCCAAATGTTTAGATGATCCTCCAAGGATATCTCTTCCTGGCTTTAACTACTCGGCTAAAGCGGACAGAAACCTTCCTGGCGTTTTGTTTGACGGAGATACTCAGTGTGAATTTCTTTATGGCGTTGGATGGCGACATTGTTCTTTTGAGAAGGCAAGGTTTCTATAAATGTTATGGAAATTTACTAAGCAAAATTTCACAAATTAATTTCACCGAAGTGGAAGTGGCGGATATTTGAAAACTAATGTCCTTCATTATATTTCAGACAAACTGTGGCTCTTTGTACTGTTCAAGATCATACGGCAGTTGCAACAGTAAGCTTGCTCCCCCGGCGGACGGTACAAATTGTGGACCACGCCATGTATGTCGACTTGATCTGCACACGATTGCGTACTAACTCTAGCTTTTGTTACATCGATATCATGAAGGTTTATGCCTTTTTTCTAGGCACGAAATTTCTGTTATGTATTCCTCTTACTAATTTAGCTAGTACAACACGGTTTTTTCTCTAGCATCAATCAATAATACACACAAAAAACGAGCATCATAAAATTTATTGGATTAAAATTGCTATGTTTAAAGTGTGGTGTTATGTTCAATTGCTGATTTCCCGTAACTGCTGAAAACACACCCCTGTGGGAATCGTTTTTTAATTATAACTACAGAGGGTAATCATAGTTGGCTCGCTTGTAACAATATTAGACATATTTAAATTGCTGAAATCCAAATTCAATTCAAAAAAAGGGAAAGAAAAGACGCTAATGAACAACTTTGATCAGTTTTGCATCTCGTTGGTTGAGAGGGTTTTAAGACCAATCCGATAGAACAGAGTAGAACACAACAAACTAATCCCAAGTAGCTTTAGAAGTTTTATTTAAAACTACCTCAACATATCTCCATTCCATTCCATAGTGGTGCATCAAGGGCAAGTGCGTTGATAATGGTTTGCCCAGAATTAATGGTGGATGGGGTGAGTGGTCAGAATACAGTTCTTGCAGTGAGACATGCGGAGGAGGGGTACAGTACAGAACCAGGGCCTGCACTAATCCACCGTAAGCGTTTTCCGTCTGTTTCTCAGTAATTAAAGCATCTTCAAAGGAAGCTGATACAAAATTATTTCTTTCGGCGTATAGTCGAGATGTTAAGCCATATTTTAATGTTATTTAGGAGGCGATGAATAACAGCATAAGGGATTTCAATTCTAACTGCAGCCTTGTTGACACAGCAAATTTTTCGAACATGACGAACGTATGCCTTTTAGTCCATAGTCCACTGAGCGTGTTTACAATTCGAGCTCTACTGATCAACCAACTGACAGACTGCGACTGACTGATTGACAGACTGACTGGCTGACTGACTACCCACCTAACCGATTGACGGAATGATTGACTGATATATTGACCGACTGACTGATTGATAGACTAACTGGTATTTTGGTGTTGAAAACGTAAAAAGGCCACCGTAAAGAGTTGACGTTTCGAGCGTTAGTCCTTTATCTGATGTATAGACTGCCTGACTGGTTGACAGACTGACTGACTGACTGACTGACGGAAGGACTGATAGACTGACTGACTGACTGACTCACAGCTTTTTGATAATAAACGCAAATATTCTTTGCAGACCTGAAAATGGCGGTGAGAACTGCTTGGGATCTGCAAGAGGAAAATGGAAAATATGCAACTCGCAGGTTTGTTTCGATCATAAGAAAATTAATTTTATAATAAAAAATGTTATCGCAGTATATCATTATCAGCTAAAAAATGTTGTGAAGAAAGATGATGAAATTATTTTTCGACGAGCATGAGACAAAAAAAAGGGTTCCGGGGTCCTGACAGAAAAACGCAGGAATGACTTGCGTGTTGCAGGTTATACCTCTGAGAATTTTTTATTTTATTAACTAATAAACCCTTAATTGATGTTTTTCTTTATTCTCATCACTCGTCTGCCTGAAATTGTATTTATTTTGTAAGGAGAAATTCTGTCTTGGTCACTCATGGGTATACGATGATACGTCTAAATCAGCTCATGCGTGAAAACCCCTCATGGCATGGGAAATCAAAAGAAACAGTTTATCAATGAGACTGTGGTGAAATGACCCCATGTTCTTCGTTTCAGATTGAGTGCCCTTTGCCATCTTATCGAGATCTACAATGTATGGAGAAACACCCGGAGAGGAGGGCCTATTACATTTCAAGTACAGTTCAAACAAATCTGCTGATTCTTTTGCCTCGTTCTTTGGCGGGGATAAGTCCCTTGAGGTTGAGTGGCTGGGGGGTTCCCCCACCCCTCATATAAGCTAGTTACGTATGTATGTGCAGCCCTCAGAGGGTATCATTGGTCTTGCGCCACTTCGATCTGAAAACGAGTACAGATTTCGACGACATGGTCTAAAGACGAGTGTGGTTCTGAGTGCGACTGTGTGAACATACTCGTTTTTAACCCGTGAATTGCGCGCATGCGCAAGAGCGAGTTGTAGATATGATGTGGAGAATGGCTCTCGCTCGCTCGCTCGCTCGCTCAATTGGTCGATTCCTGTAAATTTTTTTTCGGTTTTAGGCTTTTGAGTGCATTTGATAGTTTTTGGCGAGCAATAAACAAACGAAATGGCGACCTTTGTTTCTAAGAATAGTGGTGGGGTGAAAAAGAAGCCAGTGATAATCTTAGAAGAGTTTTTTTTTTTCGTTTTAGTTTCAACAAGCGGCGCCAGCAACTGGCAGGCATGCAAGGATTCACACTGAAATAACAGAACAACCTTCGTTTTTCATAAAATTGTAATTTACAATTCTTGAACTTGGAAACAATTCGAAGATTCATTGAAAATATCACTTACTGCGAAGTGCTCGGAGTTTACAGATGTTCAAAAGCTTTTTCTGTTATGGCGTGAGATTTAGGACAAAATCGATCATTACGTTTCGTATCGTGTGTGAAGCAACAGAAGATACCGGCGACCAACGAAATT